TTTAATATTGGTCCATCTACAAGTACAACAAATGCGCGTAAAATATCCGATTCCACGTATCAGGAACTCCGGGCAGACACCAATGTATGCAGTCGGCATAATGCAAAGGATCCTCCTTTTGTTCGTCCGTTAGCAAGTTGCCGCCCATCTCAGTGTAAATCGATGAATGAGCATCGATTCTATATTCCGACAATTGGGTTATGTTTAGCAACGTGATAGCCACTTTCATCCTAGACACGACCCCTTCAACTACCTTCATCATGTTCTTGTCTGAACCGGTTCCCCAATGCCATCTCTTTGTAATCGGCTTTGTCTCGTTAAAACATTTTATGCCTTTCTCATTGCCCCAATCTGCACTCCTGCAATGTTTGGTAAACCCAGCAGATAAGTTAGCTGATAAGTTAGTCGATAGCTAATAAGTAAATTTCGAGGTTATAGCTGATAGTTCATGACTTATGACTGAAAAACTAGCTGATATGTCGAGGAAAAAAAATAAAAAAAAAATAAAAAATAAAAAAACTCACCTTTGATGAGTAGGAGACATGGTAGTAAAAAACACTCTTGTTTTGTTGGGATTGACATTTGAGTCTACCCAATTAGCCCATGTCTTAAGTCCTACTTTGTATGATACAGGTGCGTCGAGTTCTTCGTATCCTTCTTCTCCATTTTCAAACGAACCCCATCTACGAGTTTTTTTTAAAAAGATCGTGTGAGCGACTCAAATGTGAAAAAAAAAACAAAAAAAAAAAAGTAACATGAAAAGTGATTGAGTAATTTACAGTGACTTGATCTTGAGTCCACTCATCCACCAAACGTAGGTGTTGAAAACGAGGATATCAACTCCAATCCAGTGTTTGGCGTGCTTGGCAACCGAGTCCACTTTCAAAATCCGCTTCTTTGGGTCGGCTATTATGCGCACATCCGAGTTCGACTCCACTAGGAATGGCGCCCAATAGAATTCGATTGTGGCATTGTATTCCTATAGAATCAATGAGTTATAAGACTTGAAAGTTGAAACCAATTTTGAACAATGTTTTATGTGTTTGCACCTTGACTTTGAACACAGAATGTACACGGCCTCGTTTCATCGATTTCTTCCTTTGTGGTATAATCGATTCGACTAGGCAAACGAATGATTGCCATTGCCCTCTTTGAAGCGAATCCCCTACAAACATTAGCCTCTTCCCGCGTATTTTTTCTAACGCTTTTATCGGATCAAATCTGCACGTAGAATTATTAGAAATCAATAGCATGAGCTAAGTTTAACAAGAACTACCAATTAGCTTAGCCTAAGTTTATCGTTCAAGATNAAAAAAAAAAAGAAAAAGAAAACGATATCCAACTTACCTTGGCAAAATGCAGTCATTAGGCATCCATTCCCATTGCTGGTAAGTAGAGTCATTTTTCCCATTCTTAACGCACGAAACCTGCCTGTCTAAATACGGGCATGTTGTGTCCGTATATAAAGGTTTAATTGAGCTGTTGAAAACCCATTTCCCGTTATTAAGGCTACACTCGTCCGGTTCAAACGTGAACCGATCATCTGCTGCAAAATCCAATGCACTCCCGTTCACATAATCTCTTTTATCTGTAAAAGAAAAACACAATGTTGTCACGAAAACTCGGCACAAAGTATGAAAAAGCAGAGAACATTCTACCTTTGATAGATTTATTTGCCATATTTCTTTTAGCACAAGGCTTGAATCTGAAAATGTTGCCCGATGAAAACGAACTTGAACTGATCCTTTCAGTGTACAACAGAGACAAAAAGGCCAACACGCTAAAAACGACGCTAATTATCGAGAGGGATAACTTTCCTCTTATCGACTTCAGCGTGCCCATTTCAATACAAAGATTACAGAGAAAACTAAAATCCGGCCTAAGAAATTGAATGAAATTATCAAAACTTGTGCTTGATCAACAACATGATGATGATCACTTAAGTGGAGATCATTATCATTCTTTTTTCTTTTCTTTTTTTTTTTTTTTGAGTAAGAGTGAAGCTACAGCAATGCATTAGTTTTTAGCAGGTAGAATTTGCTTTCTTTCATGAACTACATTATGCAAGCTATATATATATATATGCTCGCGTGCAAGCCAAAATGTCATTGTCATGGGCTCATAATAATGTCTTTTGCATATAATATAAGCTACTGTTGACTAGATATTCGTTGCGTTTCAAAATCATTTTTCAACAGATGACTGACACGTGTATAATTATGACGTCATCATAGACACATGTCATTCATCCAATAAAACGAAACAAGAACAATATATATTAATTGCACGACTATAAACATCGTGAAAAGGTCAAAGTCGATGAGGTTGTGGTATGAAGAAAGTGTGTGAAATCATTATTAGGTGGGAAAAGGTTTTCCATTGAAACAAAGTTGGCAAATGTTTGGCCTCGCTTTTACATGACTTGCACTTACAGTAACCATAAAGAAAAACAAATGAAAACACGCACATTTTGTTTCTATTTTTAGAGATTTGAAAGTGCAATTTTGCAGTTCCACTATGTAATCTACTTCCTGCATATTTATTGTATTCCTTGTCTCAGACATGAATTTTTCTTTTCGTCTTTACATTAATTTAGGAAAGTCATTTGTTGATTGAGTTATTCATACTTGTTAATAACTATTGT